CCTTCCTCCACCGTTGCTTTCCCTTCTCCCTTGCTGCCGCGGCGTTTAGAGCAATAAGGCATTTGGCACAGCCATGCGCAGCCAGCCAGGGCTCCTCCCTGCAACGGGAGCCCGGCGGAGACACTCAGCTTCAGGCACTCCTGTCGCCGCCTTCCCTTCGCCTTCAAAGGCAAAGCCAATTCTTTTAAAAACGACACCCTACTACCGGTACGACAAAGCTTCCCCTGCCCGAGAGGGCAGCCCAACCCCATGTGGGGAGGCAAATCTCCCTGGGCCGCAGCGCAGGATCGGCCCACCCTGGGAGAAGCACCCAGCCACCATCCCTGCCTGGCGCCAGGCAGAGTGCAAAGAGCTTCGCCTGGGGCACCCAGCACAGCTGACAGGCAGGCCCTCCTGCCCGGCAGCGGAGCTCTCGCCAAGGAAGCGAGCACCTCCCCGCTGGACCCTCCGTTCATCCCACCAGGGCCGCGCCAGAGCCGTGCAAGCCGCAGGTGCACGCCCGCCTGCCAAGCAAAAGAGCCGGGCTGACCTGAGCTTGGCTTCCTTCCCCCCGAAGGGGCCACCAGGAGAGGCCGCCCGAGGCAGTGATAGCGTCCACCCATCTGTGGACAGGGAGGCAAGGCAATGGCCTGCGCCGCATCCTCCTCCGAGCTGAGCCCCGTCGAGTCAGCGCCTCTACCTGATGCCCGTTCCGCTGCAGCGTTTGGAGCTGCTGGCGCATTTGGAGATGCGTGGGGATGGGGATGGGCTGGGCGAGGGGTGGAACGGATGGGTGGCTTCGGGCTCTCTCCACCAGCCAGGGTAGCAGCGCTGCCATCACCTCGCCTCCCTGTCCGTGGACGGGTGGACGCTATCACTGCCTTGGGCAGCCTTTCCTGGTGGCCCCTTCGGGTTCACGCTGGAGGGACTTGGGAAGGAAGCCAAGCTCAGGTCAGCCCGGCTCTTTTGCTTGGCAGGCGGGTGCGCATCCGCGGCTCGCTTTCCTGGCTCTGCCCAGCCTGCACGGCTCTGGCGCAGCCCTGGCGGGATGAGCAGATGGTCCGGCGGGGAGGCGCTCGCTGCCTTGGTGAGAGCTCTGCTGCCAGGAAGGAGGGCCCGCCTGTCAGCTATGCTGCGCGCCCCAGGCGACGCTCTTCGCGCTTTGCCCGGAACTAGGCAGGGATGGCGGCTGGGTGCTTCTCCCGAGGTGGGCCGATCCTGTGCTGCGGCCCCAGGAGATTCGCCTCCCCACGTGGAATTGGGCTGCCCTCTCGGGCAGGGGAGGATTTCTTGTAGTAGGGCGTCATTTTTAAAATAATTGGCTTTACCTTTGAAGGCAAAGGGAAGGCGGCGACAGGAGCGTCTGAAGCCGAGTGTCTCCGCTGGGCTCTGGTTGCAGGGAGGAGCCCTGGCTGGCCACACATGGCCACCCGCCTGGATGAACACAAAAATGCAGTAAAAAAGCTGGAACACATTTCCTCACTAGTCCAACACATGAAAGCAACAGGTCATAGCATCGACTTCAATGGCACCAAAACCCTAGCCACTATAGAAAACCCCAGCCACAGAATTATCAGAGAAGCCATAGAGGTTGAAAAAAGATCTGAAAGCATGAATAGAAGAGATGATTCCACCAGACTGTCAATTATTTGGAAACCTGCACTCACAAACAAAAAAATCTCCACACCACAAGCCAGGCAAACACTTGGGCACAAACAGATCCCCACTGATACCTCCAGCTCAAACACACCCCAACCAGGCACCCAGATGAAACCCAGCTTCCTAATAAATGATAGCCGTCCGTTTACTCGGAGGCAAGCCGCACTAAAAGCCTCCAATACAGGAAACACAATGTTGCCAGCCAATCAAGACAAAAAAAGCCACAAAACAGACAGAAGATATTAGAAACACCAATCAAGCAGAACACAGCAAACTCCAAGACCAATAAACACAGACCAAGACTCCCAACCAATCAGGATGAAGAAAAAACCATTCTGGCACAGCAGTAGGCTAGCCCCAAATTTAAAACTGAAACGGCTGTGAAAGTCTGACTCACAGACGAACGCAATACAGAAGCCTGATGATGGCAGATGAGATTCTGCCGAAACGTTGCTACAACTTTAAAAGCACAACTATAATGACATGGGAAAATACCCGAAC